TATTTAGGTCAAGGGGAATTTTGGTTGTACAAAGAACATAAGACTATGCCCTTTTTAGATTCAGAGAATAACCCTGCTCCCATTAAAATCAATGGCGATATTCATTAATCGAATATTTGATCATGTGTAACAATTAGTATGAATATATTTTAACAACTATGGTCTCTTAAGTACACAAATTAGGTACTAGAGCTAGAGATCGCCAGTCTTCTTTGAGCAAAGATTAATGGCAACACTAAACAATAAGGCCCTGATCCTGTGAGGTATTGAATGCATGCAATTCCCATGAGCTGAAATCGGAGACACACCACTGAATGGGTCCCATAATCCTTTGGAGGGTAAAGTAAATATCATTTTATTTCAAGTAGACGCTTTCCAAGGAAAAAGTATCAAAAACTTCAAACAGACTGAATGCTCAAGAAATTCAGAGTTATGCTGAAAAAAGTAAATATAGTAATTATTTTGAACCAAAAACATGGCATAAAAGCAAAGGACAAGGCATGAAATACTTATTTCTTATTGCTACTCTTGAGTCAAAAAGAGCTCTGTTCTCAAACTATTTTACAGGAAAAAAAACTGTTCTGCAATCTGATTTTATTTGAAAGGTATGAGACATTAAACCTAAAAATTAAGCATTGATAAATTTATAAGCTACACTGCAAATCACCTTGAGATCTGAAGAACAGGAAAAGACTATACAATGAAAGCTATATTCTATTACAATACTACTTATCAGCATTTCCTTTAAACCTAAAAATTAAGCATTTATAATGTCTCATACCTTGCAAGAAACTCGGCCACACTCATGGTAAGTGGACATCCAGCTAACTAAAATCTTGCTAGACTAGGGATGTTAGCGAGTAGTCCACTACTTGCTTCCCCCCTCTTGCTGCCTCTATCAGAGGGAGCAAGGGGAAGGAAATCAGGAGCTCTATGGTGCTGCCTCTGCCTCCCCCCCCCCCCCCCCCCCTGGGGCGGCCCATCCCCTCCTCGCAGCCCCCATTCCCCTCCGGCTCGGTGGCCGACGAGTGCCATACCTGCATGAGCACCACTCCGACAGTGGATCCTTAGCCACTGGGAACAGGAACTGCTGGACTCAGCGTGAGCTGGGACCGGGCAGTCCTGGATTGCACTGGTTCGGGATGCAGCACCTCTCCATTTTAAATGTAGTTGTAGTAAGAGCCACCAGTGATGTACCACTAATCAACTACATGATTAGTCAGATAACTGCAGTTTAACATCCCTATGCCAGACCACGAATGTAGCCACATCAGAAACTGCTAGACTAGAGAGATTCAACCTGTACTTATTTTTGTAACCTTTCAATATGATATAATCAGATTTGTTACATTATTCTTGCTTCACATGAATAAAATGTATAAGCTGTAACATGAATAAGAAATTGTACAAATTTTGTATATAACCACCAACAGGTGGAACTGAAATTGGGACCTCTGTACACATAAAAGGGAATTCATCTACAAAAAAATTGCATTAATTAACACTGCAAATCAGAATTAAACCTACGCTAAGAAAGTCACTTAAGGTTGCCAGAGCATTGTCTATAATCTGCTGTGATGTCCTGAGATACTGCAAGATGTACTGCAGGTACCATGGTTTGGAGTACTGTTCTGAAAATACAATAGCTATTCAAACAAAACAGTGACTAGCAATATTTACAGGACTTTGTGCCATCACAGATCATTTCTCTAAGACTTCCCCGATTTCAAAGGCAAATGGTAGTATGTACCAAAATATTTCTCCATACGAATGTGCTGTCAGAGTATGGGGAGAATACCTCTCTGTGTTCCAGTGAGTGATAAGGTATCGTCATCTGCTTGGACTCCCAATTTCATGACTCTTGAACTCAAGAGAGGGATTTCTGTATTCAGTATTAATGCATGGTGGTAGCCATTGCCTCTCTAGCCGCATGTTCAGAATGGGACGATTCACTCAAACGTCTCTCTAGGTTCAATGCCACTCTCCCTTCTGTCCCGGCACCTTGGCTAGGTGGTGCCAAGGCAAAGCACATAGCAGGAGGGGGGCTCCCACTCCACGGGCGCTTTGCGCCTCTGGACTCTCGTACCTTTCAGGTAGCTGCATCCCTCAAGCAACTGTCCCAGGCCCTGGGCGAGGGGATGGGGCAGAGATTCACCTCCCCGAAGGCTTACCCTGCCCAAACCAGGGGTGCAACGTGGCTGGGCAGCTTGTCCCTTTCTCTCACCAAAAGAAGGCGGCGGGCCCCGCCACAGATATTCATTCACCCACCTGGCCTCGCCCGTAGCCTGAGCACCCGGGCAAGAAAGGGACTGGCGGGGACACCCCTCTGTTAGCCAGCGCCCCGCCGCGGGAAGCAGAGAGGGGCTGAGGTGCAGCTAGACCGGGGCAGGGGAGGCGCCCTCCCACCCACAGGAGCAGGGGCAAGGACAGGGGCTGGCTCTCACC